ATATTTCTTAGAAGTTTATTAGCATGCAGGCCAGGGAATTCTGGGAATTGAAGTCCGTCCATCTTCAGCCTGGCAAGACGGAGAAACACTGGACTAAAGAGACTTCACATTCCAAGTTTTGGGAATAAGGAAGGAATCACGGATGCAACGTGCAATTATTTTCATTTTTCATCTTTCCTTTTTTGGCAATGTTTTGTTTCGTTGCTTCAACCCCGTGAGTGTCGCCCCGAGTTGCAACTGTGAAATGGGCAGGCTACGTTGGCGGACGCCATAGTAATAAGCAAACAGGTAGAAAGACGGCCTTACCTCTTTTAACGTGGTTTCTACAAGGGTAGGGAGTTTCGATAGCACCTCTTTCACCTGTACCAAAATCTGCAGGAAGGAAAAGAGGAGGGGCTGACAAGCAGGCAGGCAGGTAGCAAAGGGGAACGATATATCCTGGGCTGGAGAAGGAGCTCTTTTCCAAATGCAGGCTGTCCTCGACTTATGACCATTCATTTGAACAATGGTTCAAAGTGATAATGGCCTCAGAAGTTGTTCTGACCGTTGTCCCGAGACCGTAATTACGTACATGCTTAGTCCAAATAACTCGTTTTATTTCAACGCTGGGAATTATGTGCATTCCCAACCTGTAATGAGTCCCAAACAATTCCCTGAGATAAGCACCCACCTTTCTCTCCTTTGAATGGCTGCCAAGAACTAAAGTGCCAAATTAACTGTAAAAACCCAACCAAAGTACCAAGTCCACACAGAGCTTCAAGGATTAATCGTAACAGAGCGAACAACATTGCTTCCTGCAAAGGTTTCTCTATCTTTGCCTGTCCTTTATACCTTAGGGAAGGGGCAATCACCTCCAAGCCTTACTCTCGAGTCGCCCCTTTTGTCTCAGCTGCTCTTGCCTTCTGGCAGCTCTGTGCATGCGTGCACTGGGAACAGGCTCCCCTGGGTCTTCTGCCTCGCTGCTGCCAGAGTCCAGAGGCTCTGGAGTCAGCACCCCACTCCCCGATGGTTCTGGCTCCATCTCTACATCGGACGCAAGACCCTCGTCTGAGTCCTCCCCAGACTCCCGGAGGGTCCCTGTTCTTCCCCCCTGTCCAATTCCGCTGCCGTCTGCACCGGCTGCCGGCGAACCACAACAGAAGTAGTGATTTTACGATCCGTCCTTCCACCCACCCCCGTTAACGATTATCGCACCACCCCCTCCGCTGCAATTTACAGAATTGCCATTTTAATTTGCATCGGCAACAGGTTGCAGTCACTTGCAGTTTGCAAGTGGCAGCCTTCCCAGCTGGACCCTGTTTAATAGCGATTTGTTTAACGACCCTGGGAAAAAAAGGTTGCAAAAATCCAGTCATGGGATCACTCCTTTCCTGACTGCAACGACCGAGGAAGGACCTTGGGGTCCCAGCTGAGGTTGTAAGGCAAGGACTACCTGTAGAAGGGAGGGGGGAGGGGCAGCTACCTGATATGCACACTTCCGGTGCAGCTTCTTCTGCTCCTTGTACCACTGCATCAGTTCCTTCATGAAGTCCAAGGTCACCTTCCCGTTCTCCAGTTTCGGCCCGCTGTACTCGTCTTCGATGGCTGAAGGGGGTGGGAGAAGGACTCAGGTGAGCAAAGCAGCCGTCAAGGAAAGGCTGGGAGAAGCCGGGCGCTTCCAGGGGTCTCCTTCTGTCACCAGGTGGAGAATCAGGTTGGACTTTCTAGCAAAAGTTGGTGCTGCTCCCTTTATTTTCCATTTTGGCAGGTACGATTTAATGCAGGCGGTCTCAGACCTTGGCAAATGATGGCCCGTGGACTTCAACTCCCAGAATCCCCCCAGCCAGCAGGCAACTTTGAAGACTGGTGGACTTCAACTCCCAGAGGTTTTCTCAGCCATCAAGCAACGTTTTAAGAGTTGTGGATTTCAACTCCCAGAATTCCCTAGCCAGCACGCTATTTGAAATGGAAGATGAGCGGACTTCAACTTTGCTGGGGAATTCTCCCAGACTTGGAGAGTTGGGAGTCCACAAGTCGTAAAAGTGGCCGAGGTTGGTAACACCCGTATTTACGCCCCAATTCAATATGGCTGGGCCAGTGGCCTTCAGAGTCAGGCCACCAGCTCTTCTTTGCCGGTCTCGCTTAGGATTCCGCTCCTGTCCCTCCCCTTTTCACTCTCAGGACGGGTGGGCACAACCTTGTGACTGGTCGCCTGAGAAGTCTTTGAAAAAAGGCAGGAGTAGGCTCCTGGACCAGGGACCTGTTCTAACCCAGGCTTCCTGAGACCGTAATTAAGCCCACGCTTAGCCCAAACAACTCGTTTTATTTCAACTCTGGGAATTATTTTCATTCCCAGCCGGTAATGAGTCCCAAACAATTCCCTGAGATAAGTACCCACCTTTATCTCCCTTTGAATTGCTGCCAACAACTAAAGTGCCAAATGAACTGTAAAAAACCAACCAAAGTACAAAGTCCACACAAGCTTCAAGGTTTAATCCGAACAGAGCAAACGTTGCTTCCTGCAAGGGCTCCCGTCCCCTTGCTCCTCCTTTATGTCTTATGGGAAAGCCAATCACCTCCTAGCCTTATTCCTGAGTTGCCCCCCTTTTGTCTCAGCTGCTCTTGCCTTCTGCCAGCTCTGCACACACGCGCGCTGGGAACAGACTCCCCTGGGTCCTCTGCCTCACTGCTGCCGGACTCCGGAGGCTCCGAAGGCAGCACCCCACTCCCAGATGGTCCTGGCTCCATCTCTGTATTGGATGCAGATCCCTCATTCAAGTCCTCCCCAGACTCCCGGACTGGTTCCCGTTCTTCCCCACTGTCCGATTCCGCTGCCGTTGAACCACAACAGGACCCCCACTAAGTTCCCCCAAAACACCACCACCACCCCCCCATCTCTCCTGCCCCGACTCACTCATATTCTCAATGTCCAGGGAGTCGACCACCGACCGCTTGTGCTCGTCGCTGGCGATGGCGCGCTCGAAGGCTTTCTGCTTCACAATCTTGTTGCATTCCTGATACTTCATCTTGGCATCTTTATCGTTCGGCTTCACCTTGACCACCTGGGGCGGGCAGGGGAGGAAAGGTAGAGGAAGGGGAGGCCCGGATCAGTGCCGCACCTCCGATCAACCTTTTGGCTTGGTCTGGGCGGCTGCCAGGGAAGAGGGAACGGGTCTTGGGCCATACCAAAAATATAGGATGTAGTGTCAACTCATAAAATATTTCTCTGCTCTTTGTAGAGTTGCCAGCAGAAAGGGAGGGGGAGCAGCGTAGCCACTTGGAAAGCGAAACTGCATTCCACAAATGTTTTTCAAAGATATTAACTAGGTGACTGAAGTTTCTGCTGTCCAAAATTCTAACTGGAGAGCATGATTGATGCCTCTTGGCTATGGATGTGTCTCGTTGGAGAATATGACTTATGACACACCCAGGGGGTGGGGTGGGGTGGGGGAAAACCAGGGTCAAGGGGGGCAATGAATGATGTGTCTCAGAGTCGGCTGCACCCAGGCAGTGCACGACATGTTAACTCCCAATAAATCCTTTTGAATTTTGGAAGTTTAGCTCGAGACTCAGAATTTAATTGGGGGGGTCACTGCCGGAATCCTGACATGTAATTTATGTACATAAATAACAGTCCTCAATGTACATTGGTTCATTTAGTGATGGTCCCAAGTTATAACGGCACTGAAAAAAAGGACCCTTTTCCACACTTATGACCGCTGCAGCAGGCCCATGGTCATCTGATCAAAATTCAAAGGCTTGGCAACTGGCTCATATTTATGACGGTCGCAGTGTCCAGGAGGTCATGTGATCCCCTTTAGTGACCTTCTGACAAGGCAACGGGGAAGCCAGATTCACTTAACAACCATGTGACTGACTTAACAACTGCAATGATTCACTTAATAACCGTGGCACAAGCAAAGTCAACAGGGAAGCCAGATTCACTCAACAATTGTGTTACTCACTTAACAACTTAACAAAGCCAGATTCATTTAACAACTACGGCTGGAAAGGTAAAATGGTAGCAAAATTCACTTAACAACGGTCTTATTTAGCAACATCAATGTTGGGTTCCATTGTGGTCTCAAGTCAAGGACTAGGTGTGATGTTAAAAAGTTTCCAACCTTGTGGGGCTGCGTATGTCAACTAAAAAAATACTCCTTTGGTCTTTTTAGTTGCCAGCAGAAAGGGAGTGGGGGAAAGCAGTGCATTCCTTAAGTGCTTCAGATAATCACCCTGGCAGCCGAAGCTGTTGGCACGCAAGATTATTACTAGAGAGCACGATTGATGACTCTTGGCTATGGATGTGTCCCATTGGAGAATATACATCCAGGGGGTGGGGGAAGACCAGGGTCTAGGGGGAAATGAATGATGTGTCAGTCAGCTTCAATCAAGAAACGCCGACATATCAACTCCTAATCAATCAATCTTTTTTACTCTGAGAGATGCGGCAAGAGACTTGTGATTTGAATGGGGGTGTATTTGTTGGAGCCTTGACCGTATTACTAGCTCTCCAGGGCCGCCTGCAGCCCACGGACCACGGATGGCGTAACGCCTGCTCCCACCCCTTCTCGGACCCTCCCCCTCCCCGGTTTCTCCCCCTTACCGTCTCGTAATCCCGTAAAGCTGCCTTGAACTTCCCCAAGGCCATGTTGCTGGTCGCTCGGCGGTAGTAGCCCTTGATGTATTTCTTGTCCAGGTCGATGGACTTGGTGGCGTCGGCCAGGGCGTAGCCATAGCACTCCGTCCGCAGGTAGGCCAAGCTGCGGTTGGCATAGTAGATGGCATTGGTGGGGTTGAGCTCAATGGCCTCGGTGTAATATTTGACGGCGTTCTCATAGTCCTTCGCTGGGGGGAAGAAAGGAAGGAAGAAGGCATGAAAAGAACAGCATGATGTATCTATCCATCCAACCATCCCTCCATCCCTCTACGTACATACGTACATATATTTCTATCTGTTCCTCTGTCTCTATTTCTCACCTGTCATCTATCCTATCCTATCCATCTACATCAGGGGCCTCCAAACTTGGCAACTTTAAGACTTGTGGACTTCAACTCCCAGAATTCCTCAGCCAGCAAAGCATAGCCCACAAATCTTAAATCTATGCTGGCTGGAGAATTCTGGGAGTTGAAAACTCCCCTGCGCTCTCTCCCTATCCTATCCTATCCTATCCTATCCTATCCTATCCTATCCTATCCTATCCTATCTAGTTTGCTTTCATTTTATATACCGCTACTAGTGGCTTCTCCTGTAAGTGTTGGTGGAAGAAGTGGCTCCATGACCGGTTATTTACTGTTCGCTTGTTAAAATGAGGGAAAACTCTATTCCCTCCTAGCACTGAAGGTGCTACCTAGCTGGGCAATGAAATGTCTGTAAGGAAACAAGCAGGCTCAGAGTGTCACAAGGTTCCACAGTCCTCCTCCTCCTCCTCCTCCACTCCCTTCTAACACTGAAGAGATGATTTGTAGCTCAGGGTTGAAATGAGGGGTCCTTGGTGCTCTCTGACCTTGGGGGTTTTCTTGCAGACGTTTCATGACCCAACTAGGGAACATCATCAGTGCCCGAAGACAAGCAATCAAAGAATAAAGAACAACTTAATCAAGGAACCGCTAACATACCAATATTGGCAGAACAAGCCATAAACAGCAATCCCTTCTCACATTGTTGATGTTATCTAGTTGGGTCATGAAACGTCTGCAAAAAAACCCCCCCATCAATCTCAGACACGACCAAGAACCTCACAGTCCTCCTCCTCTCCACAAACCTCACTCTCTACTACCACTGATGGCATTACCTAGTTGGGTCATGAAACGTCTGCAAGAAAGTCACCAAGCTCTGAGGACTCCAGGGACCCCACAAACTTTGCCATATTGGTAATTCTCACCCTAGAAGCCAAATTTCAGCTAATGGAACACTACGTCTACCCAGGGTTGGCCAAGGAGCTAACTGTCTTTCTAGAATGTTTTCGATCTTGTGGGTTTTGTCCTGAACTCTCATCTCCAAATCCCCCAGCATCAAGGGCATCAGGAAGGGAAAAAAAAGAATAAGGCAGCACACTGTTGTAGAGACAAAGTTCCTGTGTTACACAACAAGCATCCATGAAAGCCAGAATGAAATAGAAACTGAGGATATATATATATTTTAAAAAAACCTCCCCCTTCAGGGCATAAGCCACCCCTGGCATGGGTTAAAAGCCAGCTACTCTCCGGCAGTCCGAACTGTTTAATAACCCACTTCATCGAAACACAACCCTGGGGGCAAAAATTAAGCACTAGGCCAGCAAGAAAGCAGATTAATCCACCATCAGAAATGAAATTTGCAAGGGAAACAATTGGAAATCTGAGGACAAGGGTCCCTGTGAGCCTACGCGGGGGAAATCACTTCCTGCTGAATCCCCAAAAGGCAAAAGAAGTAGAATTCAATTGCTACTTTCTTATTCTGCAGGCAACTATTTCCAATTCGTGGAAGAAAAGAGACCTGTGGTTCTGTCTCCCTGTAGGTGGATGACTCTGTTTCAGCCAGCCTACCAACCAAGCAACCTGCTCTACAAATTTACAGCGGGCCTGGCTCGCTGTCCATTCACAAAGCTTCCACGAATTGCTGATTATAACAGATTTAAGGATTTAATTCTCCAGGTGGATCACTGCCCTCTAAAAAGATGACTCTAGTGAGCATCCAGAACAACTAGCCGTAGTGTGAGGGCTCCGGGTTGCCTTGCTCGCATGCATTCAACAGAGGTAATGATTATAAGATTATTATTTTGCCTTTATTATGAGTAACTCAAGGCAGTACTTAATACTCCTTCCTCTTCCTATTTTCCCCATAGCAACAACCCTGGGAGGTTGGTTAGGCCCAAAGTCACCCAGCCAGCTTTTATGCTTAAGGCTGGACTAGAACTCACCGTCTCCTGGTGATTGGTCCAAAGTC